TGAGATGCGCTGAGCACGTTATGACATGTTTTGTTTTTCAACGTTTACCGTGCCATTAATGTAAATTACTGAACTTTTTAGCCAAATTAAATAAAGATTCGGGAGTGTCTCACTTAAATATATCAATAAAATTGTTCGTCTGCGACAGGCTTAAATAAGTTAGTGGCTTTTATCTCAAACGGAGAAAGGAACCAGTTTTAAAAACGAGTTCGTTAATCCAGACATATAGTTTTTCAGCTTTACGTGAAAACCCTGTAATGTAGGCCAAATAACATTCAAAGACTTTTGATTCGAGGGTGTAGGAGGTATTTTTAATGTAGGTCGTCGTAATTTGTTAAATAATATTGAATATCTGTTGTATTTTATGAATATAGCACAATAAACACACACATACAATTCAATTGTAATTTTTAAGCTACACAACCCAAGAATATTGAAGTAGCGATCAAAAGCTAGTTTATTTTGTAGAACAACAGATTAAGCAGTCTGCCAATCAATCTATAAGCTGTATTAATTAATTATACTTAGTACTTAGTCTATTTAACTGGTTTTAGACAGCTGGTTAGCCTAAAACTCACTAAATCCCTTTTTGATGCTAATGATCATGATCCTGTAGTTGCTACGATAACACTGTATTTTGACTACTCTGCATTAGTACGCAAATGAGATCATTACGCTTCGTATTTGACCCCATATTATTATGCTAGTTTTGATGGTTTAGCAAAAATACCAACAAAACTTAATTAGATCGTTTAATAAAAATATTAAGTCACTTTGTTCATTATTTTTGTTAATCTCATTCTCGTTTTGCACCAAGTGGTGTACAAAATGTCTTGTCCAATTAAAAAAAACCCTATGCCTCCAGAAAGTTTATCGCCTTCGTGTCTCAAGAGTATGTAGCTATTACTCCAACTTAGGCACAAGCAAAACTAAAAGCTGACCCGTAAAATTAATTATTAAAAGCTAAACTTTGTGCCCATTCTGGCATCAGCTGCGGAAAAAAGGCGACAACTCCGCTCCTATCTACGGAATGAGTCATTCCCACCGAAAAAGTGGTCAAAAGAAAAAGTTTTACAGCAAGCGAGCACTTCATCCGATTAATTTAAGAGCCCCGAAAAAGCGCGGTGTTCAGCAATTTTTGGCACTCTGTATATTATGAAGTTTTAACCATGCATGATTTAGGACCGGTGTGTACTGTGTAATAATTTACATAGAAAACAAAGTTTTTCATCTTTGAAATATTTGCGGGGATTATTTGACACTTTTAACAAGGCACTGTATTTAAAAATTTTAGCGTAATAAAGTCGATTTGATCTTGGTAATTGAATTTACGTCAAAATAAAAATTGTCTGGGATTACAATAAGTAACAAAAACTCAACCCCTACCTTTTATTATTACTACTACCCTGTGTAATCCACAAAAAACTTTTCCAATAACATTACACAATAGGCCCACTTGATACTGATACTGATAAGTAAGTTTATCTATCATCTCTCAGCAAATCAAAGTTCCATTGTGAAGATTGCGGTAACTGATCCACTCTGCGCCTAATGAAGGCTGAACTCTTCGTTACTTTTGTGTACTTTCACAATTGATTTTGTTGTTACTAACTTCATAGAGCAAAGCAACAGTGACAAAGCCAGTCGGTTACCAAAGAGGGTTTTTACGTACCTACGAAACTTAAAAGAGAAACTTTTTGGGATCTGACCGAGTTTCCTTTTTACGGGCACATCGGATGCGCGCCCCACCATCAAAGGTGTACTTTGACTTTTCGTAGCTCGCAGCACATTTCATTAGCTTCAGTGTAAGTCGTAGCTACGAACAGGTATACCTGTTGGATGTCTCTCCTGTTACAAGGTTACCATTGGAAACGACAATACAAATCTTATATTAGTTACTTATAAATATAAAATATTTAAGTTTTTATATTGGATCGCAAAACTCTTGTTGTTTATCGTCTATACTTATTATGATTTAGATTGTCTGATTCTTTAATAAACACACAAAACAACAGAATTACGTGATCGTTTTGGAGCGAAGTACCTAGTTACCTACATAACGTTAAAAAACAGAAGCGAAGCGATTTCGGAATCATTCATAAAACTTACGAATGTTATTTTATAGCTGGCACTGAATTATTAAGTTCTCGAAAGGGCAAATACTGAAATGATTCTCTTTACATAAGTTCAGACCCCTGTATTATTCGCTGATGATTAAAAGTAAGTTATTGTAAAGCCCTAGACAAACTTAAGGAGTCTGTAAGCTGTAACTTCTGTTTAAGTAAGGGTAGGTTTATGGTTTCAAGATTTCCACCCTCTTTTGCAATTGTGTCGTCGGCTGATCTTTGAATTGGCCACATCGTGCCCAGTCACAAAATTGTATGTTCAATGTCTGCTACTCAATAAGATCAACGAATGGACAGATTCTTATGAAGTTTGTACAAGTACTTACCATTATTTTCGTACGCCACTGAAGCAAAGAAATCAATAATATATAAATCAAACCATGACCCATTAGATTTCTCCAGACAAAATAAGTACATACGTACATTTTTATGAGCATTTTCTTTGTAATTATTTCTTTTATTTATCAGACTGTCATTATGATTGTTGAAGAGCTTCACTTAAATGACGAAAGTGGAATAATTGGCTGAACTAGTGATGTGATACGTTTACGAATATGATTCTGCTGAAAAAATATGAAATCACAATAAAAAAAATGTAGAGACAATGTCCCTAATTTAGTATTTCCGCAGAAACTCATGCCAATTCATTAATCAAACCCAACCAGTCAGTAGCCAAAAATATATTCAAAATGTCGTTTGAAGGGTCCTCCTAACAGAAAGAAGCAAGCAAGTATTGATTTTATTGATTAACTAGGTGGTTGAGGATTCCGGGTGAAGCTCGCTTCCACCTTCGGCCTAATCATCACTTACCATCAGGAGAGATACAGGCCAAGAGCTTCCTCGTTGAGGATAAAAAAAAACTAGCTTTTGCCCGCGGCTTCACCTGTATGATATTTGGTTTGCCACAGATCGTCATAAATTATACACCCTTTAAGTTATTCCGGGTTAAACAAAAGTAGGTACTGTAAAGTTTCATCAAAATCCGTTCAGTAGTTTTTGCGTGAAAGAGTAACAAACTAACATGTTAATATCCATACAAACTTTCGCATTTATAATATTAACAGGAATCACAAAACTAAATATTTTTATGAGACAAATATTTATATTAGTAAGTACCAAATGTTCTTCACTGCGCTAAATTTTGTTACGTAATTTGTATTTTGTTTATTGAAGCAATTAGATCGTAACTAAGTGATCAACCAATTTGCTCAGTGGAGAGTTGAGTGATTTTCTTTCACTTTCAAAGGAGGAATGAGCGTTCATTATTTATAGAGAACTGTACCTACCTATAGATAGAAAATGTTTAGGCAGTTTTTTAGGTGCCAACACAATTCTAAAACTACACTGCTAGCTTCTCGCTCTGAGTGATCTATGGCTGAAGGTAGCAAAAACCATCTAAATAAGTGGGCACTTTTCTACTGTCCAATGGTGGAAAAAAAATGTTTTTAAGAGTGCTTGTAATTTGGAACATGTACGTATATTAAACTTACTTATATTAAACTTTCTTTTCATAAAAATTCGGTGCTTTGGATAAAATAAAGTAAATAAAAACATGTCATAAAAATTGCAATTTATTTGAACTGAACAATCTCTAAAGACTATGTCTTTCAATTTCTTCAATTTATTCCTAGTGGATACGGATTGACTAATTCAATTACATAATGCAGAATATTAACTATCTTACAATTTCAAATACTAGGGGAAAGTAGTACGAGATGATCCCCTTAAGCGGGAATCGCTGTAAAATACATATTTTTCAAGGTAAACCAAAAATAAAGACGATTACTACTAGTATATTTATCTATCCAACTTTCCTCATACTCAAAACCATAAATTAATTGAGGTTTCATTAAAATATTTCATTTTTTGCAAAACCTTACAAAGTGATCATCTTGTACACCCCTGTGGGTAAGATGATCCCCCAGGTAGGGGTAAGATGATCCCTATAATTCTATTCTATGATCTATTCTTTTCTGGTTATAATCCTTTCGGAGTACCTAATTATGCGAACAAATCGTTAAAAAGTTAGAAAAGAAAAACATTTACGAATTAAATAACGAAAATAACTGATTCTTTCTTAGTACCTGCTAAAAAGCGTTTAAATAATTGAAACGCTTTTTGGCTGGAGCTGTGTTGAATATATCACAAATAAATTCACCTGCTTCATCACCCTCTACCCCAGCACATGCTTTATGGCCCCATTTTCCACATGCATAACATTTTATCCATCCTTCACCCTTGGTATCGCTTGAAAACTTTTNACTTTTTGTTAAATATTTGCTAAAATAATCTACAAGTACGCGGCTACGTTTTTATGGCCAAAATATTAAAATTTAACATAATAGAAAGCCTAACGACAACAGTAATTACATTTAACATTGTTTGAATAAAAGTAACATAAGCTCAAAGTCATGCCTATTTTAGATCAGAAGTACACAATTTTTCTTTTTTCTCGTCAAATTCGATGTATCGCTCACGCCACCATTACGATTTGACTGACGCGGGGATGTGTCCAGAGCTATGTTTTACCAGTGAAAGAAACTAAATGAGGTTAGTGGTTTCAGCACAATCGCGAAAGATCATCTTACCCCAGGGGATCAACTCGTACTACTTTCCCCTACATACTTACAGAAATAATAAACGACTATCGAGTGAGCACTTGAGATTTGTTTAAATGTTATGTATAAAGGTTGTTAATATTTAAATGCGAAAACAATGATAGTATAAGAAACGATTAAATAAAAGGTTTCTTTATGACATAGGTAGTTTTATTGCTGAGATTCGTTGAAAAGATCTTATTAGGGTAATGTCGCCTATTTGCGTTCACCTACATATTCCCGTCTGAACGACGATTCACTACAAAAACAATTGAAAATACTTAGAGGAGCATATCACCAATATACTTGTACATATTGTATTCATAGAAATTTATTCATTACTTCTTTTAGTTTTGTAAGTGTGTCGGTAATCGGTATACTTATTGTTCTCTGTGTGCTTACCATGAGTTCACGTTAGGTGTGCTCGCTAGCGACTGCGTAAAAAAATGACAATAAATGTATGACATAGTGTGCAGCGCCCCTAGCGGCTACTTTCAAGAAATAAAATCTTCATAGATTTTTGACGTACTCGCTAGCGAGCACACCTAACGTAAACTCATGGTAAGCACACTGCTTTAAAATTGTAATCCGTTTGGTGATCGCAAACAGGTGACCTGGTCTTGTACGGTGGATTTATCACAAGTGCTCATTTGGTAGATAAAACATTCTGGATGTTTCTAATAATAATATGATATACAATGATATGTAGATAATATAAGTTATGATTTACCTATAAAGATGCCACTTCAAAACTCTGTCCCTGGTTTGGGACAAAAGATGACTACTTAAAATTAATATGCCTAGAACTAAGTAATATGTTCGAGAGCGGACTTCGTAAACTAATTTATATTAACATTAGGTATGTAACACTAAAATAAATTGGCAAAACATAATATTATATTTAATTTAAATTCGAAATATTTTCTTAAGTACCTATAAACTGGCTGTTGTCTATAGATTTTTATAAGTAAATAAGTATACAATTTATTAATAATATTTTTATTACTTAATAAATATTTTAATAACTATTACTCATAATAGTTTATACACACATATTGTGTTCAAAAAACTGTAAACATAATTTTAAAATATTAATTAACAATTAAACAAAGAACAATTATTCGATTAAAACTATCACAGGATGTTCTGAGCTAAAAGACGATTATAATCGTGATAACGTTACAAAACAAATTGGAAAAAATCTCTTTATTTTTTAACAATCAATTTTGAACACTTTAATTAAAGAAAATGACACTAATGTAATGAAAGTTAAGAAAATATATGATGAAAACGAAATACAATCTAAATCTTAACGCTAATTTCTGAGCTCAATAAAAAACTGTATTCAATATCATTTATGTACACGCCAATGAATTTCAATACGCTACGACGAACATCTATAAATTGCATCGCGCTAACATAAAATACACTAATTTATAGCTTAAACATGTTACTTGCCGTATTAGTAATTATGTATTTGTAAGTATTCATAATAGAAGGCAATACTGCATTAAGGTAGAATAAGTTATATCCCCATGTATTGTGCAAAGTATGCATTTCACACTCTTTTGGCATATAAACAAAATAAATGAAAAGATTAAAATACTCAACATAATTCGTTTTAAACCTAATATTCTCTAGTGGACAACTAACTTTATCGCGACCAGTGTGATATCACACATAGCACATACCAGCCAACGACAATTTGTACAAAAAGTCACACAAAAGACTATTGGCGACATCACACGATATTCCGCGGTTTCACCTGACATTTCTAGCTATACGAGTATGACACTTGTCCCGTATTAATACAAGGTTTTAATGATTTTTTCGATGCAGATAAGACAAAAGTCTGGATACCAAAATGGTTGGTGGTTGGTACCCTGTTATTCATTGGTAAGATTTAATTATCATAGTTTAGACTTAGAAACACCATTCTTACTGAATTATACAACAACTTATCAAACGTATTCTTACTATTACACAAAATTAAATCTCATAAATTGAAACCCAATACTTAAGGTATGGTAAAACAATAAAAAGACACATACAAAAAACCACTATGCATTTTGTAAAAAAAACATTACGGCTGACAATACTTTTGGTATTTTTGAATGCAATTTGTAGGTATCTATTATGTATGAAACGATCATCACAAACCCAATCATTTATTAATCGCTATTATAAAAAAATGTCACGAACATTTTCATGGCGCCTACTATTAGCCGTAATGCTTCCATTAAAACAAAAACAAACATTCAAACAAGTGTAATCACATGCAACTACAATAAATAAGTCTTGCTAGAGGAACTGTAACTCATACATTCATTATTTACAGTTCAGTGCTCGTTGCACCACGCAACCACTTCTGGAACAATATTAAGTTTTTAACCGCTACAGCGTTCTACTTTACCTAAACATGACCTAAACTCGTTGCGATTTACGTGGGAACTAACGCACCAGATAGGTAGACCAGTAGGTTCCCGAATACAGCGACAGTGACCAGCACCAGGCTGTAATTGCTGCTTGTAGCTTTGTCTGGTAGCCCACACTCGTGGCCCCGGTACTCCAGGCAAAAGTTCTGGAAATGGAAATTTAGATTATAAACAAAATAAGGCTAATAACTCTACTTACAGACTTCAAGAGTTTGTAGAACGACGGTAAACACTCAATTCTAACTCAAGGGAATTTAAGCCTGTTTGATTGAATTTCAGTAGATCAATCAATATCGAAATACTGAAGTGTCCGTAGATTCATACTTGAGAGATGTTTTATAAGGGCTAGGTCTATATTTTATGTAAAAAAGAAAATCATAATACTAGTTTGAACAAAGAGATGACGAAACTAGCGAGTAAAACATACATTATTTTAGATACGTACTTAAATTATCCGTTATAGGTATTCCATAATAGAATTCTAGCATATTTACTATTTGGTAGCCCATATTAATAATGTAATAGTTAGTATTTTTTTGGTTTAATTAATTTACATTGAAATAATGTGTCAGTGTTCGTAGTAATTAACTATTTTTCGCAGTAGGTACTATTTGATTAAATAATTTCAGTTAATAAATTAAACAAGTTAATGTATTTATTTAAAACGAAGTATATTCCCGCACTTTAATAAAAATATGTTGCCATTTAATCGACTTTTATTACATGTTTCGACAGCCAAAAATATGTGACCAGAATACACAGTATTATTTTTTAATTCACCTCGTAATTGATTCACGAGGAAATTCCGAATGGAACAAAAGTGGGGCTTTTGTTCTAGGGTTCATCGATGCGGAATTACTATTATGAAAGAATGACTTCATTATTTTTCGTTAAATGATAAACTTACGGAACACTTTATATTAGATTCATTGAATTTTCTTAAAAGGGTACGTATTATCATAAGAAATATTTGCTCACTGCTTTGAAGGAGATTTTTAATATGAATAACTTCAACGCATATTCTATATTCATTATTCTTAACAACATTTATTCCAAGAGTTTAAATTAACTTGAAAGTAAAGCCGTCTTACATGTTTTCTTTATTTTCGAATACCTGAAAACTGTAATCTACTCATAATTAAATTTGTTAGAAAACGTGGCATTTTATTTTTGCGCGGACTTAAGATTTTGCCTTATAATGTCGTCAATCTCAACTTACAGGAAAATGTCATTCATTATCTTATCAATAGATTCATCAGGCCGTGCCGAGAAGCCGTTCAAGTCTTTTTGTACTGTTTAAATCTATTTACGTATTTTATCTATCTTCCTCTTCTATTATGTTATCATTTTATCTTACCATCTTCTTTTATGGTGTACGTGGTACAGTTAGCGACTAATAGTTCGCGACACCCAAAGTTTCAGACTTGATGAACTACCATGACTGTCTGAAATGGTTCAATCGGACTAACTCAAGTTGATCATGACCTTTGATTCTTTTTTTCAGAAAATCAGGTTAGTTCAAGCTTGAAATATCTAAACCAAACCGCGCTAAAATACAGACATGATTTTACACTAAGTATGTGTGTCCTATGGGATTCAATCGAACCCAGAACCTACGAGTCGATAGTAACACTAGAAAGAAGGCCAAAACTCGATTAAAGCAATTTGTGCTAGATTACATTTGATTACTGAAAAGTATAAAAGGAAAGCTACCCAGAATTAATGAATTAAGAAGACGATACGGCTTTAAGAATCATAGACACAATCCATGACAGACTTTTTGTGATACGTATCATGGAGTATTGCGGTAATACCTTACCTTGATAATATTGGAAGCCATTCGTTTCAGGAACGCACTGGTGAAGAGGGCAGCGTCGTCGCCACACGAGCTCTGCACGGTTTGCTCGGAGCACCTCAAGTACTCTTGGAATGAACTGGAAATACAAAATATGTATCAAACACTGACAACTTTATTATTAAAACTTACTGTTGGTTTATGGAGATTATGATTTATTTACTATCCATATATTATACCTATTTATCTCATTTCATCTCATCACATAATCATTACGAGCATGTTAGTTAGATAACTTCATAATTCCATTCCAATTATAGTTGTGCGACAAGATGGAAGATGTAACTAGTAACTTTATGGAATTGTATAATTACCAAAAAGCTTTATCTAATCACTAGCGGCCGCCCGCGACTTCGTACGCGTGGACCTCGTTTTACTCCATTAGGGGTGGAGTTTCGTAAAATCCTCTCTTAGTATCTATAGCGCATACATTTTAAATTTCAACTCTCTTACTTTAAACACATAGGACTTTCATAATATTTTATAAACTTCCAACCCTCCTTTTATCTCCTTAGCCCTCGTAGTTGATTTCTAATGATACATTTTCAGTATATGTACCACCACCACCACCATTTCAGCCATAGGACGTCCACTGCTGAACATAGGCCTCCCCCATTGCTTTCCATGTTGATCGATTGGAAGCGGCCTGCGTCCAGCGCTTCCCTTTACGATGTCGTCGGTCCACCTTGTAGGTGGAAGTCCCACGCTACGTTTTCCGGTACGTGGCCTCCATTCCAGAACCATTCTGCCCCATCGGCCATCAGTTCTGCGTACTATGTGCCCTGCCCATTGCCACTTAACTTCAGCTTGCTAATCCGTCGGGCTATGTCAGCGACTTTGGTTCGCTTACGGATCTCCTCATTTCTGATTCGATCTCGCAAAGAAACACCAAGCATATCCCTCTCCATAGCACGCTGTGCAACTGAGCTTCTGTATAAGGCCTATAGTGAGAGGCCACGTTTCCGAGCCATAAGTTATCACTGGTAACACACATTGGTTATACACTCTAGTCTTCAGGGATTGAGGTATTTTGGACGAAAAGATGTTGCGTAGTTTCCCGAACGCTGCCCAGCCGAGTTGGATTCGACGATTGACCTCCTTCTCGAAATTGGACCTACCTATCTGGATCGTTTGTCCGAGGTAGACATACCTACTTGTCGACGAAACTGGGTAGGGCGCTACATGGACATTCGACATAAGCTTCGTTTTGTCCATGTTCATCCTCAGGCCTACCTGTTGGGAAAATCGATTAAGGTCTTCGAGCATTGTGCCAAGATCTTCCAACGATTCTAGCATGACCACAATCGTCGGCAAACCGATGTGTACACAGTACCACAGTGTACCGAATAGTATATGTACACCTCCACAATATCTAGAGATCATAGTGAGCATACATTTAATTTTTAACTTTCAAGTCTCTTACTTTAAAAACCGAGGACTGCAATACAAAATTCTAACCCCCTTTTTAACTCCCATAAGGGTTGAGTTTTGCAAAATTTCGTCTTAGTGACTACCTACGTTCTAAAAGGAGGTGTATTACTTACAGCTTACAACGACAATTTAGTGTCCTTTGAATTTGTTCTGTGCCTTTGATCACCCACGGATACGATGTCCTGGGTGAGCCAAGTAGACTCTAGTTAAATTATTAAGTATTTTAGTGTCCTTTGATCATCTACAAACAAATCACTCCTCCTCTGAATAGTCACATGTCCAATTGTTGTACTACATAATATTTTGTTTTGTAACCTTTTTGATATTTTCTAAAAACAGCAATAAACAAATTGGACATGTATGTGACAATTCAGAGGTATGATTTATTTATAGGTGATCAAAGAACACTAAAAAATCATTTAACTGGAGTCCACTTTGATCATCTTGGTGATCAAAGCCAGGTGATCAAAGTGGAATAGATAGACCATTAACCCCTATGAGAACTCTTTTGAGACTTGTAGTTTCCGAGACTTCGTGATGAGTGAGTCACTTAGTCATTCAATGACCTTTCTTTCTACTAAAATTATACGTACCTATAGTAATTATCATTAAAATCAAATAAGTAAGTAGGTACCTACCAACCGGGACCAAAATTACGGGACCCTATTTTTTTTCCAAAATAAAATTTAGCCTATGTTACTCGTGAGTTATGTAGCTTTCGAATGGTGAAAGAATTTTTAAAATCGGTCCAGTAGTTTTTAAGTCTATCCATTACAACTAAACAAACAAACAAAGTTTTCCTCTTTATAATATTATTATTAAGTGTAGACATAAGCTCTGTATATTTTATGTTAAAGATTGTTTTAACAACAACAATGGTACGATTGAATTTGATTTCCTATCAAAACATCAGGTTTTAAAATCGGGACTTACAAAATAACTTCAACTGTAACTTTATTGATCCACTGCAGTATGTTGTCATTCATAATTATCATTGTAATCGTTCATTTTACATTGAGCTGATGGTGATCAATTGAGCCACGTCAGTTGCAATGGAGGCTCATAAAGTCACATTTACAAGAGTTATTACAGCTGCCCACATGATAAAAGAACTTTATTGAATTTTGTTGCATACTCGCCAGCACCTCAAAAGGTACATGTTTGTTGAAAAATGGCACCTATTAATAACTACTTAAATGTCAGAGTACAATTAGCTTGATGTGCTGTCGCTCGTAGTACCTACTAAACCTTAAAGTTTTATGAATGTAAAGTGGATGAGTCGTTGGATATTGGAATAATTTTAACCTTTCAAAATCAACTTTAATACCTATGCTTTATTGAATGAATCTTTAGCACATGTTCAAACTTCAAAATTTGAATCTTGTAATGATTAACATCATAACAGCAGACTGTTACATAGAAAAAATATTTTGTACCGAAAAATGTAAATTAACGTTATTTTTCTCGTATAATTTAACTATTTTCATCTTATAAGTACCTACAACAGCTCAAACACTGAATCCATTTTATAATCATATAGTAGCTTTCATTTACTAAATTGGCCTACGGATAGAATAGGCTTCGAGCTTAATTGTGAAATTAAAGTTTGTTTCTGTAGTTACAAATAGCAATTTGTGCCAGAGCTCGTGTTTTTTCCGTGGAAAATAACTGCGTTTTTGTTCATCTTTCCATTGTGTCAGTGCTTGGGCAGCGATGTATGAATCCTGTGATAGTGCACGAATATTTTTAACTAGGGACTGACCAATGCACGAACGTTAACAATGCAAATAAAATTTATTTCAGAACAGAGAAACGTTTTGTAAATACCGCGACAGTTTAATGGTTAATGAAAGAGATAACGAAACACCGACACAGTTTGTGCTTCCTTGTAAATGAAATCGTTTATTAGAAACAGGAGCAAAATAATAGTTAAGCTCTGTGGAGTGTAGACCCTCGCGTTTAGGGTTTCAATTTGCGAAACATTCTATAGAATCCATAGATTTAGTGACTGTCTATTCTCCTATTTCATTGTTCATTAACAATAATTGACTCTATCATAATGCCACAAAGGTTATATTTAAGGGATAGTTTCAAATTTTCGATTCGTTCTATGGTAGATGATATAACATTTAATGCAGGTTCCTCAATGGTTTTTGTTAACTTGAGGGACAATGCTAGTCATCAGACCCTAATAGTACTGATCCGACCCTCATCTTAGATTGAAGTTTGAAATCTGAACTCAAAACAATTAAGGAAGTACGAGTGATAAAGCTTGAAGGTAAATTAATTATGACATAACAGTTTCCGATATTTTTTTAAGCACAAGAACCATTCATAATGATATTGTTTCTCATCTGACGTTGATGAGCAGAGTAATAAATATCAAAAAGTTTTTACAGAATACAGAAGACTTTTCCATCGTCCAATGACAGTAATAAATTGCGTACGTTTTTGCTGCGGGTGATCTACTGGAGTGGAGAGGATTAGCCGCAGAATGGATGCTTCGGATATAATATAATTAAGTATGGCTAAATTACAAAATCAATTGCTAAGAACACGGATAAGGGAGTCATTAACACGCCGCGAGAGCCTTAAGTGCGTCTTCTTAATCTGATAGAATTTACGCAGAATCTTAAACAGGGCTTGATGGCTAAAATGAGGGCAAAATGAAGCTTGAATCTTCTGAATGGGAACCCAAACGATGCTAAAGTGGACGGCTTCCAAGTATTTATGCTAACCAATAGAATTAACGGATACAATAAGGAATCCACTTATGTAAATCGAGTTGCAAGACTGAGATGAATTGTATTCAGTGGGCCCTAAAAATTTTGGACGCGCAATCAAGTTTCTATTAAATTATTACACTTTGATAAGCCCGAGTGAACATTCAAGAAATTGGCAAAATTTAAACGCGGAAATAATAATGAAGTTATTATAATTCCACGTAGCTGTGTAGATAGCTCTGGTAGTCAATCTTCAGACGAGTAATTAGCGCCGGAAAGCCGGTTCGATTTGTTGAATATTTTATTAACGAGGACTATTCAATATTCAAGACTTTGCCCAAGTCTTTTGAGTAGCACCTCTCTGTACTCTGGAGGATCTTCCGATGAATTCTCCTCCATGACAGTTTAATTTGCGGAACTCAAATTGGAAGACACTCATACTAAGTGGACGATTGCTAAATAGTTGGAAATGTTAATTGAATTCGTTAACGAAGGTGGCCTAACATTAATAATTTAAATCATAATTTAGAAGACATTTTGAAATACCATCGCAATAATTGTTTATTGAAATCAGAGAGTGTCGAATATTTAAATGTACAATCAGTTTGATAAATTAATTGTTACGTTAATTGGTGGTCTGGACATTTAAATACTTAATGTACGAATTTGATTACAAATAAATTCGACCAAATTTATTGTGAACAAATATTACATTAAAGTAGTAATGATTAATGATATAAAGCTTAAAAATTATGCCTGTTAGATGCGATGAATTACCAGAACTAGGGTTTGTTTGTTTGCTCAGAGTTACAAATTATAATATGTATAGATATTGCCCACCATATAGATATAACTCTTCAACACGTGTACTCGAGTATGGCTATAAGCAGAGAATAGACGACGTTTAGCGGTACTGTTACTGACAGTGCCGATAATTAGATCCCATATTAATTATTATGTAGATTATGGTATACAATAAACATAGAATATCAGGATGAAATATTGCGCCTAAATGATTCTGCATTGCACAGAATAATGAAAATCGTTTGTTAGTGCACCCATTGGAGGTGAGGACACTAGCTTCATCACTCATACGGATAAGATGTTTCATGACATTCCCTGCGATGAAAGGCTTGTCCTGTAGGTCTGGATGCGAGCCGCTATAAGCGGTTATCACGCCATTTTATCGATATTGCCTAAACATTTTGACGTCGATAAAGTATATCACGGCGCGCATCCTACTGTTGAGTGCAAACTCTTCCGCTAAATTGTCGGAAATCATTAAGAATCAGTTTTATTAGTCATGCTTAGTTAAGTCCCCACATATTAATTACCTGCTGCAATTTCCGTAGCAGGCAGGTATGCGTATGAATGAAGCTGTGGTTATGTTAGCGAATATGTTACTAATTAGGCTATTAAAAAGTTTTACAAATTTTACTTACCAACAAACAGTGCGCAGATAATCTTCGTGACTCGCCGAGTTATCATGATCAGTTTGATACTGCTCTGTCTTGTGAGAATCGCTGAGAGTGGTCAGCGTCACTTCGTATCGCTTGCTGCATTTCTCATACTCTGGCCTGACGTGCTTCACGCAAGTAGCATGCTTCAAGTACTCGTCCTGGTACTTCCCGCGGGTACACAAGTCCTGCACCACGTCAGTAATGCCAGAATATATCCGCCTGAACACGACTTGCTCGTGCTTCTCCATACAGACGGTCGTGTAATTGTCTATGCATCTTATCCCGGAGCGCAGTTCACTGCAACAAGACGCAAACATTATTATCCTACGCTCAGGTTAAGTCGCCATTTGTCTTGACGTTGTCTCTTTGCAGGCAATGGATTTTCCGAAAGTTACGTTTGTAACTAAGTAAATGTATGACGTAACCGTCGTCTAATTTATATTTTTCAGTGATACATCAGTCTGATATTGTCGGAATCTTTGATGTTTTAACGTGTCATGCCCATCAATTTTGATCACATGATTCCATAATGATAAGCGTGATAAGAATTGGCATAAATTCGATAAAATGACACGAATAAATATCGGAAAGGAAATAAAAACAGTGAGCGAGTCCTCATTTACATTCAGTCAGGGAATGCTTTACATACCAACGATTCTATTCACATCGCAAAGTGGTTGTGAGATTGGACTGAATGGTTTAATCAGGATTTAGGTACATTGAGTTATTTATTGAGTTGTGTTGATGTTCCGCCTAAAATTTCACAATGTTCTTTTTGGAAGCGACTCAATGATAGACATTCGTATCTACTGTGTGACGATTTCAATAATCTAACTTCTTAATAATGACGCTTCTTTTATGAATAAACCATTCATTTTGCGTGTTCAACATCGTAACGACAAATGACAAGTTGATTAATATTAACATAGCTGTGATCAAATTGATAGTTACTTTGAATTTCATTAACTTTTTAAGTCGATTACTTAATGTGACTTTTACTGAAAATATGCTTCAAACACGTACAATTTTGGAGGAGATTTTCCTAACATATTTTCGTTAAACTGGTTAAGTTTGATGGCTGAATAGTTCCAACAAAAGTCCCAAATTGAGGAGAACTAACTGCGGAATCTTTCCGCTCAACTTCTCAGCCGCTGAGACGCCTCGATCAAACTTATGAGACGTTGTGAACTTAGAAAGTGGTAATGGGCTAAGAGGGTGCTTCATACCCAATTGGTTCGGCAATGAGATTTGTAATTTGATAAACGATACAAAATTATAAAGACATATTGGTAAACCGACAGACAACAGCAGGTCAATCTAAACACTTTGTCATCATAATTAAGTAGTTGTAATGGAGCCGTTTTGCTACAAGAATGTATAAAATATGTAGTCTGATGCTCTCAAGAAAGAAAAATTTTAGTAAAACTTTTTACGTAAAACTACGCGAATACATTTAATATCAGCGCCATTTATATCACTGTTAATTAGGGGAAAGTAGTACGAGATGATCCCCTTAAGCGGGAATCGCTGTAAAATACATATTTTTCAAGGTAAACCAAAAATAAAGACGATTACTACTAGTATATTTATCTATCCAACTTTCCTTACACTCAAAACCAGAAATTAATTGAGGTTTCATTAAAATATTTCATTTTTTGCAAAACCTTACAAAGTGATCATCTTGTACACCCCTGTGGGTAAGATGGTCCCCCAGGTAGGGGTAAGATGATCCCTATGATTCTGTTCTATGATCTATTCTTTTCTGGTTATATTCCTTTCGGAGTACCTAATTATGCGAACAAATCGTTAAAAAGTTAGAAAAGAAAAACATTTACGAATTAAATAACGAAAATAACTGATTCTTTCTTAGTACCTGCTAAAAAGCGTTTAAATAATTGAAACGCTTTTTGGCTGGAGCTGTGTTGAATATATCACAAATAAATTCACCTGCTTCATCACCCTCTACCCCAGCACATGCTTTATGGCCCCATTTTCCACATGCATAACATTTTATCCATCCTTCACCCTTGGTATCGCTTGAAAACTTTTCTGTTCAGTACAGCCACTCAGTATCATCTCCTTCAGACTCAGGTGAGTTATATGAAGTTCTCTTTCTTTTATTTCACTTCCCTTTACCTACTCCATTGACTTTTTTGCTTTAATTCCCAGGGATCATCTCGTACATATAGGAAGGGATCATCTTGACCCAAGTCCCACTTTTTGTTAAATATTTGCTAAAATAATCTACAAGTACGCGGCTACGTTTTTATGGCCAAAATATTAAAATTAAACATAACAGAAAGCCTAACGACAACAGTAATTACATTTAACATTGTTTGAATAAAAGTAACATAAGCTCAAAGTCATGCCTATTTTAGATCAGAAGTACACAATTTTTCTTTTCTCTCGTCAAATTCGATGTATCGCTCACGCTACCATTACGATTTGACTGAGGCGGGGATGTGTCCAGAGGTATGTTTTACCAGTGAAAGAAACTAAATGACGTTAGTGGTTTCAGCACAATCGCGAAAGATCATCTTACCCCAGGGGATCAACTCGTACTACTTTCCCCTACTGCTTTCGTCTCTATGGTTCGACCTTTTCAACAAACCGAGACCCTTTAATCTTACCTACTGATTAGTCATTTCTGTTTGCCTATTTTAAATCATTTATACAGGGTTAAAGGTGCCTTTTCACGATTATATTAAAAAATGTTCCTGGCTGTTCCATAGAAAAAGTTGCTGCAAGCTCAAAAAGCAGCATATTTATCGCAGATTTTTGTTGACCACCTTATTCCTATAGTAAAAGTACCTAGTAATGAGCAGAACCCTTCCTGAAAATTTAGCAACTGTTTTGAAAGTAGCCCAATCAACGTTTATATTGTAATAATTATAAGTGGTACAATAAGTGGATAATTAAGTTAATTGGAAGAGGCATGAATTTAAATAAGTACCTATTTTAGCTGATAATTTTAGGCTGTTAACTGAAACAAGAAAAACTTAAAATTACGTCTTTCTAAGGTTCTCAAGCCATTTCAGAATAGAATATTACATAGTACGAAATTGAGTTAAATAAATAAATAAATAAATAAAAGTTACATTTTATATCTACCTGACTACATTTTTGCTAAACTATCCCTTGAACTGTTATGTACTCTTACAAATAGGTATATGATACATAGTTAATTTGCTTCTACTTATAAGACAAACAAATAACTTACTTAATCATATTCACGGAATCGCTGTGGGAGTACGAGTATACTAAACTGTACTTCACTTTTAGATATTTACAATCAAAATGTTCCTTCGCTGAATGAAAGTTTGCTAACCAAAGTAGCGTGGGAGTTTGCCGCTAGGGATGCCATCTCTAAAATTTGACAACTGGGATAAGACACGTGAAAATCACGTATTTTAGAGCCCAAAACCCGGGCATGTCAACATGTTTTTTTAAAACTTAATAGTGTCGGCCTAAGACTAGAAATTTTTAACCCGGACTACAAATGAAACCCCGCCCGGACGCACCCTGGATGCCTTCTGAACTAGGAAATTCCGGGAAAACCCGGACGGATGGCAGCCCTATGCCGCCCAACTTTACGGCTCCAAGCCTCCAATGAAACAAATAACCAAGTTGTATCCCATATGTTTTACCGCAAAATGCAAGTTTCGCTCACTTAATCAATATTTATATTTTAATAAATACTCGTACTGAACAAGCGAGGTCGTTGGAGTAATTGAATACATACAAATGTTATGTACTTTGTTTACATCATGTGTTACATGTGTAATGCTGAAAGGAAATTTAAGACATTTGGGATACGGAATGTTGTCTCATACCTACACTTATCTAAGCATCATTATCATCATAGGTTATTGAAAGTTATCCAATAGGTACATAATTGAATTAACTAAATTAAAAAACCAACCAAATTGAGAACCTCCTCCGTTAAAAATAGCACGTATTTATAAATAACAGGCTATTCTTGTCCGAAGGTACAGGTACAGTTAATAAAAAAAACAATTGAAGGTCAATTGGATTCAAATTCTAAATTTAAAATTCCTAATTCCTGTAATTAGTTATTTTTGCCATAAAAATACGTGAGCAACTCGTGCGTAGGTAATGTAAAAGCAAAAACGCAATAAGTTTTTACATAATCTGTTTGTGTTACAAAAATGAAACTTACACACAACTTTTGTCTAATTCCTCTTGTGTGAGTGCGAACGATATCTCTCTCGAGCTCAGCACGGGGAGGGCCATGGAACACCTTTGCAAGAGATCTTCTTGCTGGTTGCATCGCTCCTTGATAGCATCTGTGGACAAACAAGTTTTTTATTTTTATTAAAATCAAGGCAAAGACATACATAATTATTATTTAGACACTTACGAGATCTACACGAGTAAGACCTTCATTTGTTATTACGTTAAATTTTACTAGATATTAATTTCAGATTAAAATTCTTCCTACGTATGAGTCCATTTTGAATTTTCCAAAACAATTTGAAACTTATCAGCGATTACAAGTTCAATTCTTACTAACTGGTAAATAAATAATTAGACCGATTTAGATCGTTATAACATTTATTTTCATGTGCAGTTTACGTGATTATTCTTTTTTTTTATTCTTTACATTATTATCTAGTACCTAATATACCTACTTAGGAGTCTTTGAGTATACTTATCATAATTTGGGCTGAGGGATGGCACTTCAGAAGCATCGTATCATCTTGAGTAAGTATTACCATCGTCATACTTCAAACATCAATAGGCTTTACTTAGAAGGCTACGGTTCAATAAATGAGTTGCCAAAAGCCTACTACTCCAAGAGGTATTGGACATAATACGCTAAAATATCTAAATTGGGTAGCGAAACGATAAGTGTCTAATCTTGTTAATTGCCCTTCAATTAATCAATCGCCCAAATCAAAACAATTAAAAATAAGTGGCGAAAATATTAATTTTAAAAGCCTTGATAGTCCAAATAAATTGTTTATTTAGGTATGTTGTTGTGTTTTCTATAACCCTGCATAGGCTACCTGCTTAGTCCAATCAATTGACTCTATCTATAATTTTAAAATTCATCAAATTGATTCCGAGAATGTATGAAAATGTAACAAATAATGAAAGTCAAGTTATTTTCAGATTTAGATGGCGTGAATTACCTACTGTTATTTCTCCCATAAGGTTACTACAACCTATTTACATAAAACAGCATTGAAAATCTAATTTCAGCTGCGTATTTTTTTCAATTGTTTTCGGTGTGACGAATAGTTTACCTTACCTACTAAATTAAAACGTTGTAATGAAGATGTTAGTTTTTATGAAAAATATGCTAAAATTCCATTACTAACTACAATGATTAATGAGGAAACATCTCTTCCAAACTCTTGTCAACAAGGTCATTCTCTTGAAAATAAAGTTAAATTCTTGCGTTCAAACGTCGGTTACTGGCACAACGCAATAAAATTTGCAGAAAAAGAAATAAAGTAAGGTTTGACGCACACTCTCTCGATGGTTATCGGCGACTAAACATTTGTGCACACAACGCGTCACTGCTCGCGGGTGGCGACAGCGGTCGTGTTCACGTGGTCGGCACGCGCGATCAGCTGTTCGTCCACATGCGATGAGATCACGAGACAAATCCGACCGATAAGTGGTATCCGATCCGCGGAATTATCCGTTAATTGGATGTTGGAACTTTTTAAGGTTTTCTCTCGTCTTTTAATAGGAGTTTATTGGAGGTCGATCCTTTTGTTGAAGGAAAAATATTTTTTTAGCAAAACACTATATTCAGTTTTGATTTTTTACAATCGTAGCTACGAATCTTGACTAGGAAAAATATAACCCTTTTAATCTAAGATCGAAAATTTCTTTGTATCTTAATGAGTTATTATTTAAAAGTTATTATTCTTAAAATTATAGTGGAGGAGGCTCATAGTCCAGCAGTGGGCTGTAAAAGGCTGTTGATGATGATGATTCTTAAAATTTGAATTAAATTACATTGATTAAATATGACTAGACTTCACAATTTTCTTTCATAATAAAAGTATACAATTGTGATATTTACAGGTATAGCAAGTTTACTGTTGTTATTAATTTACCAATTAACTCCACCTACAGAAGTAAATATTTTTTTTAAATAAGTAATGAACAGTGTTTTATTAACTCAACATCTAAAATCATTAATCCATCCTTTGAAAGAAATAAAGTAGAGCGTAGAAAAATATTTTAAAAAAAGTTTTTGAAATAAATAGAATACAACTCAAGATAACACAAGAATACCTACAAGATTTTTTTTTTAATTAGAAGATTGACTTAATTCATAATCTTAAAAAAGCAAAATACGCGGATCCGATCTGCCACACGACGACAACAGCTGCTATCATCGAATGCCGTGTGCATCCTGATAAACAGGTAGTTATTTTTAACAGTGCCGTTCTCAGAACCATGCATTCCGAAGCTGTGGTGGGGTGACGAGCCCACCACGCCGCTCGACGCCATTGGTCGAAAGACATCGTACGATCTCTGCGAGTGTATGAGTGCTGTACGAATAAACCACACACTCTCACTCAATCGAAGCATAATCTAGCGCCAATATACAGAGCATGTTTGAGACAATTCACTGATTTGATTGCTCCAAGCCATAGGAAGTCGGTACTTCTTACTTCGCCTTGACACAATGACGCTGCGTGCCTCTGCTTCATTTGTTTTGATTGATCGTTAACCTTTTACTGAATAAACAACTAAGTATGTAATGAACTGTCTGCGTCAGCAATTAGGATCGAATGTTTACGTTTAGAGACAGGTATTTATCTATATGTATAATTCCAGAAAATATACATTCATCAGTATCTGACTTAGCACAACATTGAAATTCGTTTCAGCACGTGAGTTTTATTAGCTTTATATGAATAGCTTCGGGCTGTTTTCACTTGTCAATATAGTCATGAATATCTGTAATCTCCAACGGAACAAAATGTATTTACATTTAACCAGCATTTGCTTTTTCATTAGTTCTCCCACCCAAAGCGGCAGTTACCATTTATCAATTCATAAGCGCGTTCGCAGTTGGCATAAATTCCAACAAGGTCTAGTTTAGTTAGTCGCAAATAGAATTTTCGAGATGCTGCTGGTAAATGTCTAGAATATTTCACACTTAGCATTAATATTGTAGTGTTTAGCAACAGTTTTCTGGTTTGGAAATTTTCCTTTTTATGTTGCTCTTAGTTTTAGGCTAAATCGAAAACTTTTTCTATTGTTTCTTCTTGGTGATTTCTTATTTTGTAAACACTAACTGCATTTCTAAGTTTGACTAACGTTGCCAAGACAGCGTTGTTACTGATGAGATTTCTTACTGTACAATCCTATTTTTTGTTATATCACTGTTCAGGAAATCTGGCTGGTGAGCTCGTGAGTAATGTCTATGTCTAATCTAATGAACCATTCTTTTCCGTTTCTTTCGAACAATTTCTCCTGGCCCGGGAAAGTTGCAACAATAGCTATCTTCAAATAAAAAGTAGGTAATTTTAAATAGGTTGAGCTTGAGAGTATTCGAGTAGAAAACGATTAAGAGACAATAGCAGAAAATAATGCTAAATGTCGAGTAAATCGAAAGGCCAATGAGTTTGCGAATAACATTATAAGGATTCATGGTTGTATTTTTAGAGGCGACAATATTATACTGTTAATTCCTCTCTCCATCAATTTAGATAAACCAACATTTCTGTTATTACTCAGTATCATTATTTACGAGAATAATCCTTCATTATTATGAATGATTAGTGCCAGTGCACTAACGAACGCGGGGTTAGATTAGACCAAACGAGTATCGGTGTCACTGGGCATAAAGCCATTATACTGTCGATTACGTGCTACAAACAGTATCGAGTAACAAAAAACACGATGGTCGATGCAGTATGCCTCTAAATACGGTTTCTTTGACACCAAATTCATGAATTTTCTTCAAATATTCTCATAAAAAAATATATACGTTTTAAGTCACTAAAAAAACACATAATACGATGATCTACATTTTAGTGGCATCTTTAAAACGCTCTCTGGTTACCAAAGTTTATCATACGTAGGTAAAGGTCACATAAAAATACTGCTTTCAAGTTCTGCAAGACCTAATGTAAACAACTATTATTCTTTTGAAAAAGAGTTATTTTCTGATAAAATGTCTTGCACTCTTCCTTTTGAAGTAAAACATTATGTTAAATCCACGCTATCTCTCTATTTCTGCAGCTCCATACAGACGTTGACATGGAGTCAAACGGAGACCCTGATTGCAACAGGCCGCCTAATGAACAAGAACAAAACGAACATGACGTGTGTGCAGTCTCGGCGGATATTTTGACATCAAGCTGGCTGCTTCAAAAATAATTCGGGGTATTCTCGGCTTTTGGCAGCGTTTTATCGGTCACAGAAGGTGACGAAAATTGTTTCAGGTTAAAAAAGTGGCAGTGACGTAGGTACATACGTTTGTCCGTGTTTTGGGCATAGGATCCGAAGTCATGTATGCAAATGGTAATGCCTACATAATGACAACTGTGTTTTACTTATTCATTCTGTGAATGTTGAAAGTTATAGAAGAAAGTCAATAAATGAAAAGCATGATATTAACCGCCGCGTCGATCTTTTTAGGTGTCATAGGTGTCCATTTTAGGTTTGGGGACCATTTTACATATTCTTATCCTTCTACTCCTGCCCACATTTCAGATCATTAACTGGTCGAGTTCCGTTAAAACACATGTTATCCCTTGTAAATGTTACATGATTAAAGGAAAATACGTTTTGGCTTGTGTTTAAAAGGGAATACCAGTATATTAAGCTGACTTTAAACAAATAATAAAACGGCGTCAAACACTCGACATCACCATACCATTAGAATACCTTTATCCAGACCAATTCTCTGAAAGTATTCTGTTTTAAAACCTTTTTACGCCAAACCCTATTTAATTGAAAAGGGTCTAATTGTTTTTATTAAAATGGACCTACGTAATATTACATGGACCAAAAATATTTTATTTCAGGTTTCATTCTGTTTTTACAAGCTTTTTATTACTTTCACATGTCTGGTGTCTGTCGTCAAATCTTGCAACTTAAAATTGACCCACTTCCCGGTTTCCTATTGAGCTGAAATTTTGCATACATGTGTAAGTCCGATGACAATGCAATATTATGGTACCATTGAGCTGGTCTGATGATAAAGTCGGAAGGTGGCCATAGGAACTCCTAAACAAAACGGCGGAAACTCATCGAGTTTGGGTTCGTTGGATTTGTCTTTTCGAGCACTTTAGTGTTAGATAACGTC